AAAATAAAAAGGTAAAATAAACCAATTAAAAAAAATAAAAAAAAAAAAAAAAAAAAAAAAAAAAAAAGAAAGAAAAAAAAAATTCAATTGCCATTGCAATGTGGGAAAAGTTAACAAATACATGAATACCAATACTTACAGATTTTTTTTCATTCCAATGATCTACAGTATCATTTTGTCCCTGAGTTTGTGCCATCACTTGTTCGAAATGAGCGCATTCTTCATGTCTTGTAATACCATGTTCTCGATAACGAAATAATTCTGAAAGACGTAACCGTAATTCTCTTTCCCTTTCAAGATTTGTTAAAAATTGTTCATATTCCTGTGCCGTGTAAAACTGTGCAAATACTCGTGTTCTATCTCTAAACTCCCTATAATATATTACAGATTTATTATCAAAATATTGTACAAAACAAAATATTATTTTTATTCAATATTATTCAATAGTTAAACATACTTTTCCTCTTTCGATTGTTTTTTCTTTATTGTTTTATCTTTTCTAGATGAAGCAAAAAATGCAGAAACAAGCTGATAATCGCGTACAACTCTTTTTCGTCGTGCTCTCTCCCTTAAATTATTAGTATACATGTCAACTTGTGCAAGTTTAAGTGCTATATCCAAATCATCATCTTCTGCTGGATTTAAAAATAAAGAAGAAACAAGTGATTCTGCTTCATGATTGTAATCCTGTAGAAAAGATTTCAATGGTATAACAATAATGTATTGTGAAATAGAAATATTTTTAATTTAAAATGTACCCTTTCAAAATCATCTCGTTGTGGCATATATCCCAGTTGTGCAGCTTCTTCTGGAGTGATATCCAAAGGTGGTAATCGAGATGTGAGATCAGGTGATAGAGGTCCATGATCTGACTTAGTTTGATCTGTAATATTTGGTTTGTAGCTTTCTGTAGGAGGCCATGTATGTTTTCCAATATTTCCATCAAGATACCTAGCAATATATTCTTCTTTTGCTTCTGTGAGATAAAAATAAATTATGTATAGAAAATAATTTTTTATATATTAATTTTTTTAATTTATTTATTAAACAATCAATTTTGTAAAATTATATTTTTTTTGCTAAAATTATATAATATTATTTAATGCAAAAAGTTACAGTACAACAAATGTACCTTCTGGCGTACGTGTTTCAATATGTTTACTAATATCTTCCCAATTTCCAAAACCAAATTGTTCAATGGCATCCAAAAGTCTAAGTTGTTCTCTAGCAGTCCAGTTTCCCCTACCATTAAATATGCTAATGGTACCAGAATCCTATAAAATATAAAAATTCATTAATTTTTTAATCAAAAGTATAACTTTTTTGTATTTAAAAACAGTTTATTAAACTTTTAAACCTCTTAATTCAGTACTTACCATAAACTGATAAGAGTGGTCATTTTTATGTGGTCCAATTTCAGCTCCAGCGGAAAAACACTATTAAATTTAAAAAATATTATTCTTTTTCTAATAAAAGATACTTATGAATAATTATTTTTAATAAAAAATATCTTTATATATTTATAAATAATTTATTTTAAAATAGTATTTCATTTATTTGTATCATTTATTTTTATTAATTATATTGTAAAGAAACATAATATTTTTAAAATAATATTTTTTCTTTTTATTTTATTGGTTCTAAAATTTTGACATATTTGTATCAAATAGAAGTGACATACGTATGCATGTGTTACCACGTGATTAGAACCATTTCATTCAGTTCGAGTAGTAGTATAATATAATAATTTCAGAACTTGTCGACAAAAAAAGGGTGGGGACTAAAAAAGGAATCTCAACACGCAAAATCCAGTAAAGTTAGAAGGATAGACGAAGATATGACAGAGATCAGCAAGGGAGGGCAAAGAGGGGGGAAAAGGAGACGTGAACACGTGATCAAGAACAAGCATACGCTCGTCTCACCTGCAAACAGAGGTCGAAATCTGGGCATTCTACACATCTTACACGTAAACCCGAGATGTCCTCTTGACAATAGGTGCAGTTGTATTTAGCATACAAATCTGAAATCGAGGATTCGTAATACATTTCACCTCTGATTATAGCTTGTCGAATGGCAATCCGTATTCCCTTTGTCCCGATGTAAATACATACCCGCCATTATTGTCCTGCAGGGTTCTTCCAGAACGATCCGGATGACGTCACCGCATGCCAGAAACCCATAAGTTTATCACGTACACTGAACGTGTAAGCTTGACCCCATTTTTTCCGCGAAATCGTATGAAAACGCGGAAAAATCGTGATGCGTCCTTCTGGACGCTCTAATTATCGTGCGTAAATTCGTTAAAAATCTCTATGGAAAAAATGTTGTTTACGACTGTTGCGTCGCGAAACGAGTACGCATGCGTTCCTCTCCTACCATTTATGAACTACATTTCAGGTTCGCCAACTGTGCAATAATAAAAGAAAGTTACATTTTTCTATAATTCGATTATCATATATCGGCGCGAATTTAAATAAGTAATTATATTTTAACATTCATTTTTTTTTGTTTACATAAAGTTATAGAATTGAACATCAATTACAATTATATAAGATAGATAAATAAAGTGATACAAATTAATATAATCTTGGAAATATTGTAAAATGTTGTGTGTAAGTACATATTTTTGAAAATATTTTTTTTATTTATAATAAGAATTAAATTTTTTTTTATTACATTGTATAAACATTATATTGTATTCATCTCAATAAATATCTATATAATCATTTTTTAACATATGATTTTATATTACAACTTTTCACATAAAATTATATTTATATTTAGATTACTCGATTAAAATTTTTCCATAAGAATATTATTTTATCAAATCGATCAATTTGCTTAGGACGTCCATCTTTAATTGAAGACAAAAAGTTACGAAATTTGAAATTAAAACAAGCAAAAATGCAGGTCAAATAATTTTAATATGAAATAATGTGATATATGAAAAATAAATAGTCACGTTTATATTATATAATTTGTATAAATTATTTTTCATTTATTTAGTGTGAAGATAATGTTCCTGTATTTCTGAAATGCGGTTGGCGCGATAAAATAGTGTATTGGATGATTTTAGCATTTACTTTCTATAATACAGTAGCAACATTTAGACAAGTGTTAATATTAAGTGAAAAATTTCAGTGATTAAAAAGTGTAAAAAATTTTTCATAAAAATAAATTGAATATTGATTAATTATTAATTGATTATTGATTAATGTTATTTAATATAATTTTTATTTGTAATTTGACATATCTTATTATCAATTATTAAATTAATAATATTAGATTTACAATTTTTCATGTTAAATTATTTTTGCTTATTGTAAAATATTAATATATATTATATGTTATATATATTTTACGATATATTTTACGTAAAATTATGAAGAAATTTTAAGGCACTTGATGCTCTGCAAATACCAATATGGAAATAAATATATATTTTTTTTATAATAAAGTGTATAAAGTGTATAAAGTTTTTGTGTGTGATGAGAATATAAATCAAATAAAAAGGTATAAATAATATAAAACAACAATGTTATAATTAAGAAAAAAAACAAACAAAACATAAGAAAGCAGAAATGCAAAAAATTATTATAAGACAGTTTATTAAAATTTAAATAATCAAGGGTCAATATTAAAATTGTTTTTTTTAAAAGCATGCATTGACAAATATTAATTTTATATCAAATAATATATAGATAAATATTTCAACATCTAAACATATAAAAAATTATTAAGACATTTTTATATAATATGTGAAATAATTAATATACATTAAATTAATATTTAATACATAATTCAATTATTTCAATTCGTCCTTTTACACAAAATTTTATATAAAATTGGCACTTTTATGATATTATGTAAAAAAAAAAAAATGTTTTATCATTTTCAATATTTTTTGATATTTTAAAAAATAATACTAAAAAATAAAATTCGTTTTTCCGTGTTGGTAATGCATGAGCATTAAAGATATACATTTTTGTTATCACAGAATAACATATTTACATATTATTATAATTATATAATTGTATTAAAAACATAAAAGAATGAATTAATATTTTAATATTTAATTGTTTGAGTTATTTCCAATATTTTTTTGTATTATTTTATTCTTTTCATTGGAAGCATTATTTTCTACATTATTTGAGATACTATTAGATTTTTGAGCATTTAATAAGATATTTTTGTTATTATTATATGAGGTAAGATATTTTTCTTGTAAAACTTTATTTGTACCTGGATTTGAACTTTCTTTTTTATTCATATTTTGAATAACCTTTTCTATAATATGTATATTTTCTTCATTATTATGATTTTTTGAATTTTTTGAAAATTGAGATGGAATTTGATTTTCTAGAGGTATTTTCGACAACATTTGTACTTTAGGTACATCATTTTTATCTTCAAGAATGTTTATATTATATATTTTATTTTTTTTCTATGTTGCACTAAATTTTTTAATGCTTCACTAAACTGCATTAATGTTTCTGCAATTGGTCGTTCCATATATGTGGCTTCAATCTTTTCAAATTGATCATCTTCTTCTGAAGTTAATTCATTTTTTATTTGTTTAAATTGATATATTATATCCCTTAAACTTTCTTTGACATCTTTGATTGTTTTTGTATCTTTATCTTCCATCACAATATCTATATTTGATAAGTCATTTGCTGCTTTTGTATTTATTTCTATAGATTGTTTATTATATTCGATATCTAATTCATTTTTATCCATTTCCAAATCTTCATATATAAAGTCTTTTTCGAATTCCTTAAATTGGTTAATTATATTTCTAATGCTTTCTTTTATGTTAATTGATTTATGTTCAATTGTTGCTTCTTGAATTTCTATAGGTTTTTCTTTGATTTCTTGAATTATTGTTGGTTTTTCTTTTAATTCTTGAACTTCTAATAATTTTTCTTTTAAATCTTGCTTCGTTGTCATTTTTATTTTTTGTGATGATTCTATCTTTATTGGAACTCTTTTTATTTTAGCATTAATTTTCTGTGAAATTTCTGATTTTTCTTCTATTGTATCTTTTCTAAATTTAACTGCTTCCACTTTTTCTTGAATAATTTTTTTAACATTTTTTTGAACTTCTTTTAGAGTTGTACTGTTATTTTGTACATTAAATTTTAATTCTTCTTTATCTATTTCTGATTTTTCATTTTGATCTTTCTTTATATCTAATTTTTCTTCTTCTTTAATATTAGAATCTTTTTTAACATGAGAGTGTAAATTAATATTATTCTCAGTTCCAATATTTTTTTCTAAATTTAATGCAATCTCTGATTTTTCTTTATTATTTGATGTTTCTAATTGTGATAAATTATTTTCAGATAAATTATTAAATGTTTTTTTTGTATTTAATGATTTACTGAATTCGATAGAATCATTTATTGTACTATTTAATTTGATTTCTTGTATTTCTGTATCTATATTTATATCCTTAATATTTAATGGTTTTTCAAAATGTTCTAATGATTCCATTATTTCATCCAATATTGGTTCCACATCTTTCACGGTATCATTTATTTTTTTACTTTCTACACTTATTTCTGTAGAATTTTCAGTTGGATGTTTTAAATAAATTGCTTTTTTGGGATCATATTGTATATATGGTTTTCTTTTCATGATAAATATAATTGGTCTAGTCTTTATTCTTATTGGTGGTAATATATTATAGTTTAATGCTATATGAGAAAAACCATCCACAGAATCCAAAATTTCGTGTGTTTTAAGATATGGTTTTATATTGGGTGAATATTTACTTTTGGCTTCCATTAAAAGATGTGTAAATTGAAGCATTTCTGGACTGCCAATAGTTAAATTTTCTTGTTTTGAATAACTAGAAAGATAGTTAATAATAAATTAAATTGCATTATTTTTAACTAAAGAAAAAAAGTTATCTAAAGTATATTCTAGATTTATTCTAGATAAATTAATAATTTTTTTTAATTTCAAAAAGTTATTTATAAAACTTACATCCAAGAATTATTTGTTTGTGTAAATCTTGAAACTCCTGTTTGTGCAGTGAGAACATCAATATGTACATGCACTGGATTGAGAGAATCTTTTTCAAGTCTATGTAATTTAGCAATTGCTAAACCTCCAGGATAATTGGAACCAGCAATACATAAAAGAAACATAGAAAATAGGGCATTTAAAATTAAGTGACCTAAAATGATCAATGCCAAAAATCCATTCCATGGACTTTTTGCTCTATTTTCCCATCTAATTTAAGAAAAAAAGAAAAATATAATTTTAAACATTTAAAAATTAAAAATAATTTAGAAAGCATTTAAAGAATTAAATGTAATTTACTTACATTCTATGGCAAACAACTGCAGCACTGACATTTAATAATGGAAAAACATATATGATAAATCTCAATTCTTTGTGAGGTAAAAATGAGAATAATACAACAAATGCAATACCAGGAATTGTTAATGTTCGAACTCGAGCATCCCATAGCATTCCTAAAGGTATCAAAAAATAAGAAAAAGCCAATCCACGTGGAAGAGCTGAATAAAAATACCATAGGAATGGTGATGTCTATTTTTATATTAAGTTCAATAAATATATTTTAAATTCATTATTTTAAATAATTTAAAAATGATTTTGACAAAGGATACACCCCATTCACTGCTTTTATTAAGTATAGTATTGAAGTAAAATACTTCACCTTCAGGCCATAATAATCGTTTCCAAAATATAGAATCTATTGCGATTGTTAGTGTTAGAAAAAATATACCAGCTGGAACCGCAATTTTAAACAGTCTAAAAAAATTAATTTTATGAAAAATTAATTTTATTATTCTAATAGCATATTTATATAATTCTAATAACAAAGGTTTCCTATGTTATATAATTATTTTTAATTATTTTTTTCTACTTTTAACAAGAGCACAGTTGTACCGCAATTTATCAAACAAGGGATTTATATTTGATTTAGTTATTTCTTATGGAAGGGTTTTATTATGTTAATAAGTTTTATAAGCAAACAAAGCTTACAAATCAGTGCAGTTTTGCAGAAGGTTCCTTGATGATTCTAATCACTTCTGTATGCAATGTTATAGCCATACTAGGAATCAATGGTCCGCAATATAATATGTAAATACCTTAGTATGGTTAGTTTCTTGTTGGCTATATCGTACAAAAGGAATAACCCCAGTAGCATGGCAAGTTCTGCTCTGAATATTATTATTGCTGCTGCAGATGACCAAATAAATATGATGTGACTTTGTTTCAACCATCCATATAAAGCCAGTAGTACTATAGACATAGAAATAATATATACAATATAAGTAGTAATTTTCATAAAGCATTAAATAAAATATATAATAATTTGAACTTAAATTACCTAATGGCATAGTCATTATATTTGGTAATGTACGACTTAAGTAATACATAAAATGATATTGTGTTACAGTAATTGCAACAAACCATTTAGTAAATTGCAGACCAAAGATGCTTTGTAAAGCATCTCTATAGAGTTTTAATGTACCTATTACTAATAAGCCCAATGTTGCTCTTACTGAAAAAATATAATATTAATCATTTTTTTAAAATATAAATCAAACAGAATAATAATATCAATATATTTTATTAATTGATATAATATTCTTACCAATATATTGAGCAAAAAATTTATTAATTTGCATATAATTAATAGTTGCTATTAAAGGTGATGCCAAGCCTGAGACTATAATTGATCCTACAAATGATCGTGGCACAACTCCAGGAAATTCATGGTGATCATACTAAATTCACAAAATAAGAATATGTAATAAATAATTAGTGTTTATTTATATTAATTTTTTTTAATGTGCATTTTAATATAAATATTTTCAATTATTAAATTTAATTTTTGATTGATTTATATTATATTATTAACAAACATAAATTCTTTTTTTATATTTTCGGTTTAAGAAAAATTGAAATTAATTACATTAGACGTACAGAAACTATATCAGCTGATCATAAATTTATAAATATATGTATTTGCTTCTAAATATAATATCGAAGATTTTGCGTAATATCTTTTTGATTGCATGTCAGCAACCTGTCAAGAAGACAGGAAGACAAATATATCCTTATTTCTTGTTTTTATTATTTATTGTTTTTATTTTTTATTGTAATTAAATTATATATATTTATGTAATATATTTTTAATAAATATTCTAATAATTACCTCTGATAGGTTAAAACCATGGTATAAGATGTCGTGCATAGCTTGTAGATTAAAACTTTCTTCTACTTTTGTAAACGGACAATATAATAAATGTAATATAGCCACCAGTATAATTAAATGATCCATAATTTTATTTTATGCAAAAAACGGACTCAGAAGCATTGTAAGAATCCGCGTTTTAATCATGACAAGCCTAACCAATATAGTTGACTTTTTAAATATTCTTTCTATCCACCGGGAATACACGTCGTCTGCTATGATGTATCACCATAGACAAAATTCGAAATAGATATATCATCTTATGGAATTTATATCTATTACCTGAATTACCGATCGTGCATTATTATATCATAGATAAAAAACAGAATAGATGTAACAGTTTATGACAATATTTTATATTACATGTTCCGAAATCTTTTAAAAAGATTCTTCAAAAAAGATTAAAATGTTTTTTACATCATCTAATATATCATCATAATATTATCTAATATAGTTCAGGTACAATATTTACAATATTCAATTAATATTTACAATATTGTTTATGTATACAAAATTAATTCATTTAAAAAGTTCAAAATAAAAATCTATATATAGTTTATAATTTTTGGAACTGAAACGAGTATATTCATTTTAATACCATCATTTTAATAAATTTATTTTCATGTCAAAAATATAATTGTAATCATAATCGTATTATTTCGTATTATTTCTTATAAAATAAATTAATTCGTATTATTTCTTATAAAATATATAATATTGTTTTCTGTATATTGAATCGATATCGCATGTGACGTGATACATAAGATGATTTCCGAATTTCCAAATTTCTGTGTTTTCTAAAATATAAAAAAGAATTGCATGTCACTTTATTCTGTGTACTTTGACTGTATATTATGTTATTTTGTTTGATACAAATATAATTCGATTAAAAAATATTTGAACTTTAAATATTTTTGATATTTAAAAGATAGTATTAAGATATTTTTTTTATCTCTGTTTTTTCTTTATTATTAGCTCTTTTTTTTACTTTTGTTTCATCTAAAACTTTTTACAAATAATTCTGATTCTCATATATTTATCCTATTTCTATCTTTCTCCTATCATCTATTATTCTTGTAACATTATGTGTAACTCTCGTATTTGTATTTTTTTTTTGTGCTCGTGTACAATTAAATTAAGAATGCACTTTTCAATATTTTAAGTTTAATATTTCTTAATATTTGATGTTAATTAATTATAATTTTTTATCATTACATTAAAAATTTTATAAATAACTAAAATAATTTTATTATAATTATATATAATTTCATCTTTATAAATTTGAATTTTAATGAATTTAATATACGAATTTAATAAACAAATAATATTTAATTTGTGATACTTCAAACAAAAAATTTTTTATTAAAAAGTTAGTTTATTAGCCCCCAATGATCAATCATAACAATAATATTACAATATTTTTGTTTATTAAAAAGATTAAGCGCTATAAAAATGTTATGTATTTTTTTTGTTTTATAAGACAATCTATTTCGATGAAAATACATTTACAAATTAAATCACAATAATTTCAATATTAATCAAAACAATTTAATAATTAGTTCTTCATCTCTAAATTACTTTTTACTAATCACATATTATCATATGAAGGTGATACCTTTTGGGATGATCGATTATAGTAATCACAAATAGAAAATGTTTCACTAGTATTATGATATAAAAAGATACAAATACGTATAAAGTAAGCGTTCCAAGATTTAATATTTTTTTCACAATGAGACGTCATAAATTTTTATTCTATTTCATCAATTTTTTTCGAATAATTATTTGTAAAAAATAAATGTAAATATTTTTGTAAAGGTATAGAGAGTATTATATTTACTATTTTTGCAAATTTCTTTCAAAACATGATGATCGAATAAGTTCATTTTGTTACGTACATATATACAATATAAGGAAAATTTATATTTTATTTTCGTATAATCAGAAAATACATTTGTCACAAATATACGTAATAAAACCTATAGAATCAATACTGTAGATAAAAATTAGTTTTTTCATACGTCTCCGAAAAAATATATTTTTCTGCGAGCTTTTATGATTTATATAAGATCTTATATAAAATTTTTCATAATCAAATGAAATATTTATATAAAATAATATCGATCACGAACAAGATAGAGACAAAGTGTTATTTTAAAATTGTCACAATTTCGCACAATTTTTTTTCGCAATATACAATGATAATATATTATTACAATAAAATTTTATCTATTCTTCCATTTTTAATTTTTTTTTTTTTTTCGTGAAACTTTATTTCAATCTTTTTTCTTTAATATACAAAGGCAATCTATCTTGTTCCAGTTCGATGTAAAAAAAAAAATGTTTTTTTTTTTGTCTGAGAGAAATTAACGTTTCGGTTTCGGTGCTCGCGAATGTATCGGCTTATTGTGCAACATGTGCTCGCATTTGGGAATGTGACGGTCGGCGGCAGCCTTATTGAATTTTCTTCCGCAATGGGGACACTGAATGTAATCGCAGTTATCGCTAACTGGCGGCGGTGGCAAATCGCTGAGCTTGCCTCCTGCGGCCAGATGTGCTTGCACTTGCTTGGCCGAGCGTATGGCGTTAATGAAATCCTCGTGTTTACGCCGCCAATTCGACTTTACTTCAGGTTTCTTCGATTTCTGAAACATGTAAAAAAACAACCATCCCATCCTTTTAAAACGATCAATATCCCTCATCCTTTTTCAAAGAAATTTGATTTTTCCAAAGATTTTCCTACGATATAAATGATCTTTTCTTTTTTAAATATTCTAATCTTTTTCCTTTTTTCTCTCATTCATAAAAAGTGATAATATGATTTTATGATTCACAAGATTGACGGTTCATAATAGATTTCTATATTTTGGAATTATTGCTGGATTATGATTAATATATTTCTTAATTTATTAAACATTTATTAGTATTTTTACTACTTATATTATTTATAGTATCATTTTCCAGTCATTATCCTTTATTCTTTAACTTGTTTTGCAATATTATAATTTTTATTAGTATTTTATTTAGAACCATGTACAATTATGATGTAACTCGAGATAGAAGTTATTAAAGGAATTGGAAAAGGAGGAGGGATAGCGATTCGGAATTGGAATGAAGGATTGGAACACTGACCTCCATCTGTTTTTTAACGAGCCCTTTTTTGACAAATGGCTCAATATCAGTACCCTTTACTCGATACATCATCGTATCGAATTGCTTCCTCTTCTTTTGACCTGTTTTTATGCAGATTTGTTCATGAAGCGCAACTCGGTCTGGGGCGAATCGACGTCCACACGCTTTACAAGGCACCAAAGTTTCACTGTAATGAAATTATATCTTTTGAAAAAAAATTTGAAAAGATTTGAAGAAAGCATGAAATATTTCATACGTAGAGGATTAACATTTCAAAGAGATGCAAGAATTAAAATTTTTTGAGTTTTATCTTTTTAACGTTTCAATTATAGATATTCATAATTTTTAAATAATCTTTATCTTCCATAATTAAATGGATAATATTAAGCCTTGAAATTTTATTGAAAATTTGTAAAAGTACTCTAACTACTTTTTCTTATACATATACTTTCTGGTTTCGAATTTCTAGAAACACAGAATGTCTTTACTAATTTTTTTTATTCATTTATAAAAACAATTTATTTGATAATAATTTATTGAGGATATTAATTAATAAAAATGAAATAAATATATATTGATAATAATAGAAATTATTTTTTTAAGAACTTTATTAACTTATTTAAATTTTAATAATTGAAAGATTTTTCTTTAATTAAGATTTAAATTTTTACAAAATAATCATAATCATACTGTTACCATAATTGTTATACATTTTATATATATCAAATTAAATCACAAATTTTTTAAGACATAATTAAAATTGAATAATTTTTATTCAATGAAATATATAATTTTTAAATTAGCGTTGAAAAAAATTAAAAGTTTGAATTATCTGAAATAATATAATAATTCCATCAAAAAAGTGTTTTTATAAAATAGTTTCGCGTTTCCATAAAGTATCAAAAGTTTTTTAATTTCACAACAGGAAAATCAATTACTCTAAAAATTCTTACTTCGCTGCTACTCCTCCTGCTGCTCCTCCGTTTTTAGATGCCGACCCTTTGTACGTTGTTGCAGAGGAAATTGGCGTCTTTGCTCTCGAAGCCATTCTGCTTCTATAAACGGAAGTCTGATTCTGCGTGGAAATGCCACTAGAGGTGGACGAAACTGACGAAATAGGAGTTCGAAGTGATTGCGTGGATGTAATCTGTTTCTAATTAGTAAACATAAACGTTAAATGAATATTAATCGCAAGTGAAAATAACGTAGGAAAAAATAGTAGAATAGTAGGCGATAGTATAAATAATTCAATAATTATTCGACAATTAATATAAAAAAATTGTGATATGATCGAATATTATAAGATTACATAAATAAAATACCTGTTATTAATATTACTGTTTAATTTTTAACTGGAAATTTATCGGATTAAATAATTTCACTTCAAAAATAGAGAGGAGGAATCCATATGCAGCAAAACTTGAATTTCCCGGGTATCAAAGGGCGGCAGACATTTTACTGTATTTTTACTCGTTTCTCAAATATCTATCTTCAAGTCGTAGCGGAAAAATTACGATATTCGATAGGGATTATTTCGATATGAAGAATGGAATAATTCAGGGATAGATAGAACGTATTTATAAATCATGTAGTAGATATAAAAATAAAATCGTTTCTTTTTCGATATTATCTAAAATTACTTGGAAATTAAAAAAAAAATGAAATATTATTTTATCTGAATCGTTATAATATTTCCCATTTAAAATTGTTTATTTCGTCTGCTTTCCTTAATACGTGTGATTAAATTTTAAATTAACCTTATAATAATTCGGTGCATCGAAGTTTCTTCGTTATCACAACATGATACCCATTTTTGTTACATTATCGTATAATCGTTGGAAATAACAGTTTTACGAAACCTTCTTTTATACAAATCCAAGACGTATAATTTTAAAGAAAAGTTGAAAGTATGTTAATTTTACTTTATAATAAAAGATAATTATACGATAGTATAATATAATAGTATAAAAAAGATTTTTCAAATCAAGTGAAATAACAATAATTCATATTGTTGAAATTGGTTTCAAGTTATTTAAATAAAAGCAATTTGAAATTTAGCGTCAAGCCAATTGGCGAACGAGGATGAATATAATAGAAACTTCAAAGAATCTGAAAGAATATTTGATATTTCAACTCAAACAAATAACAGGTCCATATTAAATAATAAAATAGCTTCAACTTGTACGATTTCCTTAAATCCAAGTAACTTGATTTTAGCTTAATAACTCAATTAATTAAAACCATAGTTTAAAATGTGCCACATAAAAATTATTAATATATTTCTGTTTATAAGATATCCGTTTTTTTTTTTTCTTTTATTTTAACAACTACTTACTTCGGTGGATTGTTTTCGTAGAAAAGGTTTTCGCGGAAGTGGCGCATCGTTTTCCTTCGGCCGTTGCTCGTCGAAGTCGATGACAAAAGCGTCGCTTTTCTTCATCGTGGGTGAGTCGTTATCGTATTTCGTTTCGGCAGTTTGGTCTCGTAAATGCAGACCATTCTCGAGAATAGCGCCATCGACGACATCCGTCGATTTTCTCGTGTTCGCCGTCGACATCGTCGACGTCGTCGTTGTCATCGTCTTCCTGTTTCCAATTGGCTCCGCGCCTTTCATAGGTGTTCCCCGTTTCGTCGATTTTGTGTCTTGAGCTTTCAACTCGGTGGACACACGCTAAAAGATATAAGAAATACGTTTATACAAAACTCGACATATTTTACTACGGTTTAACGAGAGCGATAAGAGAATAAAAGATACGTTATTCTTAACAATTATTCTTTCTTTCATAAAAGTGTGAGTATCATTCGATTTCAAGAAAGTATTGTTTTATCTTATTTCAATATACCTGTTATTCGATTATAATTTTATTAAGAGATTGATGCGTATGAAATTACGTACGTAGGAAACAGGTAATCTTTATTAATCTCTAATGATTTATTATTAAATTCTGAAAAAATGAAAAGTTCTTAAAAATACATTATATACTTGAATCTTATATCAACAAGATATATATATATATGTATAAATATATCTCATACAATAACCTCGCACCTCATACAATAACCTCCATCCAATTTTACGTACAATTGCATCACTTTGATCCACACAAATTTTCAGAAGAAACTTTTTACACTTTCAAACGAATCCCCCTCCACCTATTTTCGAAGGAAGAAGAATGCTTTACGCAATCTTTGCTTACCCTTGGCATCGTATCCGGGCTCTTGGACGGCGACGGTGGTACGTTTCTCCTCGCACGGTTGCCCGTTTCCGCCGTCTTCATCGTTTCCGGGCTCGGACTTTTCACCACCCTGGGGAAACGCATCGCACACTTTACAGCCGAACGGCTCGTATCCCCCATACCCTTGTTCCCCGCGGCAACGTTCCCCGACCGCCTGGGCAAAAACATCCTCTCTCCACTCGCACCACGATCATCGATATTTATTCGACGGGCCTCCGACCGTCCCGTCCCCGACTCGATCACCGACTTGCTTTCGCCCTCGATCGACCTACGTATATCCTCGATCGATCTCAACCGTTTCACAGACAACAGTGAACGATCCGCACCTGTTGACGTTTCACCCGCTTCTCCTTTGTCTCCTCCCCTCCCGTCGCCGAATTCGAGGCGTGTCGCCGCGATCTTCACCGAATGCGTTTTCTTCTTATTATTGGGCCTCGTCCACAGGCATTCCACGGTCCTCACCGAGTCGAGGCTGCACCTCGATCTCGCGCTCCCCGTCTCGGTCTCCTCGCCGGAATCGGAAAATTCGTGGAAAAGTTTCCGCTTGCACGATCTCGGCATTCGACCTATATTCGACTCCTCCTCCATCCTCGCTTTCGACAAATATTTTTCGTGTATCCCCGCAACCAAATCTCCCCTGCAACCAGATGGAACCTTCGAAATTTTCCTCGACGAAGATTCCTCGGCGCTGCTCGATCGATCGAGCGTTTGTCTTATCGATTCCTCGCTACGTTCCAGCACGCTTCGAATCGAGCCGGTTTCCGTGCCGATTGAATCGAAACGTCTGAGAGCCGATTCCACCGAGTCGGTCCTTTCGTAATTCTTACCGGTTCCACTCTCGATGGCCGACTCGCGAGCCGTGATATCAATTTGCTCCTCTTCAATCAACCCAACATCCGATGCGGTTTCAAAGCTCGACCCTCTCATGGCTCGGCGAACCAGCTCCATCGATTTCAAAATTTCATCTTCCCTGCAAGCCCGTGGCGAGTCCTCACCTTCTCGATTCATCCCTCGTTCCACGGTTTTCCGTTTCGCGATCGATTCTCGTGCGTTATATTTTTCCGTTTTATTCGTAGTCCCCTTTCGAACTTGACTCGGACTCGGCGTTTGTTCCCTCGAAATATCTTTCTCCTTTGCCTCTTCGCGTTTCGAGGCGTCGTATACGCTCCTCTTCTTGGACGAAAGCTTGCTCGACGTTGCTAAATCTTTGTGGCTCGATTTTTCTCCACGTCTCCGCGCCTCCGATCGCTCGAAGACATTCGACTCGAGCAACGATCTTCTCTGTTTCACTGGCTTCCGCACGGAATACGTGAACAGCTTCTCGATCCTCGATCTATCACTATCCGCCAATTTTGTTTCGTTGCAAGCGTCTCGACAATGCTCCCGTTTTACGTATTGATCGGGCATCGTGATTTCCTGTATCTCCGTGTCCACCTCCACGGACGTGCAACTTTTTGGACTCGATTCCACGGTTCCAATTTCCTTCCCGCTCTCCTCGATCGATGCTCCAAAACTGTGATCCACTCGATTCGCGTCGCTCGTCATGGTGTCGCGAATCAGTTTGGTCGAGCGCAGCGTATGCTCGAATCCTTCACGATCGAGCCTGGAAACGGTCAAATCATCGTCATCGTCCGTCGATGGTTTCGATTTCGTCCCAATTTCTCGTCGTTCGATCGATTTTCCACCCTTCGATCGTACATCCGTGGCACGTTTAGAAGATCTTGCTTCGTAATAGAAGAATTCCTCTCTACTGTTCGCCATTCTTCTTGGCGAGGAGTGACGACGAGTGGATCCATCGATAGCACACCTCGTTCTATCGGTTTTTGTAGCTTTCTCGCGACGATAGAGCTGCGGTTTCGCGAGTGGGCTCGGCGTTCTCGCGTGTTTCGATGGAGACGAATCGCGCTTCTTCCCCTCGATTCCCTGCTCACCGTTTCTTAAAGTTTTCTCGGAGAAAAATCGCGACACGGAATGTTTCGTTTCGTTTCTATCTAACGCTGCTGGTTTTCGTTTCGATTCGATCTTTTTAGCATTTTGTTCCTTTCTTTCAGAGTCTGTGACCCCCCCTCTCGATTTTCTAATCGTTTCTGGGGTCACCATCACGATCGTGGCAGATTTGTCCGAGCTGAAAAATTGTGGGCTGGTGTTAGATCTCTTCCTCGTGAAATCTGGCCATTTCCCTCCAACATTTTCGTATCCACGTTTTTTCATATCCTTCTCGATTAGGCTTGGAGATTTACAGGCGGCGTGTTCTTGGTCGAAGCCTATCGTGGTGGCCGATTTTTCCCTCTCGCGATTCAAAAATCGAGGACTCCTTTCTCTCGTTAAACGTTCGAACGATTTCGTTTTAATAGATTTCGAATCTTCTGGCGAGGAGGAGGATTTTCTAATTGCTTCGCCTCGTTCCACTTGTCCATTTATATTGTCCTTTCTATTCCTTCGTCCTATCTTTAACAGGAAACTTTCCGTGTTTCTCATATAATCGGGCGAATCAGACGAATGGCTCTTCGAGTCTGTCGCGTGAGTGGTCGCCGATTTTTCATTTTCCTGGCAAAAGAATTTAGTCACGTCGCCCCGCGACTCTCCAACATTCGAAAAATCGGGAGAGAATTTTTCAACGATTGTCGAATCGATCGCGGCGGCCGATTTCTCGGATTCATCGCTTTCGATCGTGCCTCCTTCTTTGAATCTCGTCGAATTTTCATTTCTTCGCGCCTCGTCTCTGATCGACGATCGTAGAGATAATTTCCTCGCAGTTTTCGAATCGATCGAACACTTTTCCTTGCGAAAGAATTCGGGGCTTTGGCCTCTGCCTCTCGACGATCCGGGCGATAATTTCCTCCCGGTTTTCGAGTCGGACTTTTTAAACTCTTCGTCGAATGATAACTTTGGACCTTCGTATTCTCCCTGTATCTCTCGACTCTTAAAGGATTCAGAAGATAATTTTCTCGCAGCCTTTGGCTCGATCGCAGCATACATCTCGGATTCTTCGCGACAGAATTTCGAACTTTTCTCTCTCGACGATTCGGACGACAATCTCGTTGCGGTATTCGAATCTATCGCGTAAGTCGTCGCAGACATTTCAGATTCCTTACAAAAGAATCGTGGCCCCGTTTCAGAGATCACAGCCCTTCCAACAGTTTTCCTTCCTTCCTCGCTCCGTCTTCCATCCTTGGCCCCTCTACGAAATCACAATCAATAACAACGCAAGATTTTCAAAAAAATCCTCGTTTTCCTTAGTCTTGTTAAGTCTCTATCTTCTGCGATTCAGCTCGTGTTAATCCTTCGCGATGTTAGCCAAAGACAAAGAGAAGGAAGAGAAGGAGGAGGGGGAAAAAATGAGGCATGATTTTGCGTGACTCTTCCTTGCAGCAGGATAAAGCGACACGTGTGTATCCTCGACCGTCTATCTTTAATCGATTATTTTGTTAAACGGAGAAAAGAAGCGGCGAAAAAGAAGCCCACGTCGACAATTTATGCATCAAAATTCGTCAATGATTAATTATAATCTCTGCGCTCTTTTTTTTTTTTCCTCTCCTTTTCCACACAGCTTTTTAATATGCCTGGCGAATGGTTGTTACGACGATGATGGGGAATCCTTCGACTCCTTCTTTTTTTTCAAATGTTAGGGCGTAAATCAGAGCGTCTTCCTTGTTGCTGCGCCTTTTTTTTAAATTTGCCGGAAACGCGTCATTTAGCCGCTGTTTCGAGGATGATCACCTTCCAAGGAGGACGTATTGTTGTTAGGCCACTACGGTTGCGTGGGTTTAAACGAGTCGAGTCTAGCCAGCGATCGCAATTATACAACGAGAAATTAATCGGCGATAGGAGGGGCGAAAGCAGCGACGGATTGTTAGCACTGATTGCCAATTAGCGGCCGGGGAATTCGCATTTGCCAAGGCTCGATTGTCCGAGAAACATGATCTGCTTGCGTGTCAAGACGGTGCTTCGGGTCGTAAATACTTTTCTTATTATTTCCTTTTTTTAAAACTTTTTGTAACAATTGTTTTTCGAATATACGAGCGTGCGTATATTTCTCTCTCTCTCTCTCTCTTCTTTTTTTTCATCGAAGGTGAGACAAGAAGAATTTTAAGAATTTCTGAATCGTACGTTCTTTTTTCTTTTGATTAATTAAATTAGTTCGAAAGTCGAGGACGAGAGCGGTGTGTGCGAAGAAAGTTTAGGAAAAGAGGTTTAATTATCTTAAAACGATAGTTATCACCTCGATGTAAATTTTCCAGAATGATTATAAAAAGTGCGTTAAGTATGTTATAATGTTAGTTTTTTAATTAACTTTTTAAGAAGCGTTGTTACGTATAATTCAGATAATCTACTCTCGTTCCTTTTCATAGTTTTGGAATTTGTAAATTCACTCTGATTACTATATTCTTCTTTCGTCGCACGTGTAAAAATCTTTTAGAGTTTTATTATTTAAAATATTGAAAACATTTCGTGAACATTCGTTCAACACAACTCGAGGAAGAGTAAAAGTTTTTAAGTTGTTTAAATATGGGAAATAAATATATCTAGCGAAATAAATTTTCAAACGAATTATCTCTACAGATAAAATACAATAGAACACCACTCTCGTTTGAATCGAACATACGGAACAGAAATTGTTTTTGTAAATTGTCCAACGTATGTATCATTCTCACAGAACGTTTCACAATTCTCCCACATCTCGTTTATCTTTTATTTCTACGTACCTGGGGGTAGATTTTGCTGGAAATATTGGGTCGGATCGTTTCTTCGGGGCGATAGTTTGGCTCTTCGTAACGTTGTTACCACGTTTCGCGTTGGCGTTTTTAAAACGTTCCAACCTTGCCTCCGCTTGAGATAACTTCTTGGCAACACTTTGTTTCGGAAGCTTGTCAGGAACATCCACCATGAAATCCTCCGGGAATTCTTCGCTCTCGAGATCGTTTTTAACACGATGCTTCAGGGTCTCGTCGTATTCCATCAGATGAAGTTTCGCCATCATACGATTCCTTTCTATCGTGTCTTGGTCCACAACTTCCTCCATGCTCGTCTGCTCAAACGGAATATCGAACGAGTGAGCGAATTCTGCTCGAATAGAATGATTAAAATATCGAATTGAAGTTATACGAAGCAATATTTACGATCTTTGTAAACCAGGATTCCTAAAATAAAAAAACACGCGAAAAATCTTCTTTTGGCGTCTTTTGGCGACCAGATAAATTATTCTATTGATGTATAAAGAAAAGAAAAGATGAGTTTTCGAAAATTGGCGAACGATTCTTCTATAACAAATATAAAGATGTATATTTCTCTTCGAAACTTCTCTTTAAAACCGTTTAAAATCGATGATCAATAACACACATTTAAATTGAAATCACTTTAATCGTAACGAAACAATTCCATAAATATAAACTGTCGCAAAAATATTTCGCAACATTCGATTCGCACAAAACGTGACGAAACGAATGTGCCGTATTTCGATAATAAGAATTTCGAAATGGCGCGTTACCTCGTCCCTGTGGTTGCCATTCGAATATCTCGCCACGCGGTTCTCGATCCCAAACTCATCATCGTCCTGGTGTTGGCGTGGGCCGAACGATTCTCGAGCGATTTCCTCGTGATACGAGGCGACCGGTTTGCCACCGTTCAAATTGCTGTTCACGTCAGCCCTTGCAACCCGCTTTACAGTCACGGATTGCCGGCTCACCGTCAAATTTCCGTTCTTCTGCACGCCGTTTCCGTTAGCCTGCTTCCGCGGTTTGTTCTCGAGCGGCTCCAACGGATAACTTCTGTCGATCCCCTTCACGGTCGTTTGTCGTCTCTCGTCGAACATCTGCCTCACCTTGGAAGCAAGCGTGAGCGAGTGTAATTTTTTTTCCAATTAAAAAGCGATTGCGCGACGGATGGAAGAGATGCAAATTGAAGAAATTAAGGAAATTAGGATCTCTACAAGAATTTAATACTTTAACGCGAGATTGATTGGGCTTGAATAAAATATCTCGTCAGAGATGTGCTATTTCAGAGAAATATTTCTTTCTGAGAAAATATTTCTCAATTTCGTATGACTGGAACAAATTTTCTGAAAGAAGTTTGTTCAATGCTGCTTGCAAATTTATCTCTCTGCATAATTTCACTTCCCGACAAACTGGTTGCCGGGCTCGCTTACGAATTCTCAAGATTGCGGTCAAGGTTCGGCAAACCCTTAATCTTCCTATCCTTTCTCTTCAATAATAAATATAAAAATTTACCTCCGTTCCATCGATCGATATAATTGACATAAATAAGTGAGAAACAACACTCACTCGAGCTTTTTCTTCGAATCAATTTATTAATCTTTTCCGAAAACCCGAGTCAAGATACATAATTTACAGAGATAATTCAAAGATTTTAACTCTCTCTTTGCAATTGTCGAGATTCGATTATTTTACGTGATATCTTAATAACGAGAGATAAAATGTTTTATTCTTAAACTGAAAAGTAATCAGAACGATTTGAAAAGTGTTTTTCGAAGAAATATCTGAGAGGATAAGGAAAGAGGAATAGACGAAAAGCGTGGAAAAGCGTGGTTTTCACTCACGAAAAGAATGCGTCTGGAAAAGGCGACCCAGAAACACCGGCCATTAGCCCATTGAAGAAAGCGTAGCGTGAAAACGCGTTTCCACGCGAGGAATCGCTCACCTTTCCACCTTGCGAGGTCGAGGTTGCATGGCTGCTGCTCGAGCTCTTTGTGACGCTGGTGTGCTGGTGGCTCGTGATGGTGGTCGTGGCATGATTCGAACCGTTGGAGCCTGGGCTCCCTCGTTGCACCACCTGATAAGCTCGTTGCTGTTGCTGGTCGTAAAGCTGCAGCAACTTCTGCTCCTTCTCCTGCAGTTGCTTCTGTTGGAAGCGGGCCTGCGACAACCGCATATTTCTCTCTCTCAATTTTATCATATCGCAATCTTGTTGGAACCAACGATCTTTAAGATTGAAGTGTCTTGATGATTAATGGTAAATAAATGTTAGATCAAATTCTTCTTCTCGTCGATCGTTTATTAAACGTGGTTTACGAAAAATGATTTTTAAAGGGAGCGCGTGTTATTCCCAACAGATTAATTTAATTAAAATTTAATCGAAATATTATATTTCCGTTTCAAGACATATCCTTCGCCAATCGAGTACAAATTGGCCCAATCATCTGACGATTAAATCAATATTAATTTCACACTTTTCATTTTCCAGATCATTTAATTCACACCCGTGAAATAAAATTCTTCCATCCAAATTTCCATCTCTAAACTTCCCCTTCTCTAATTAAAAATCCCTTTAGATACTCGCTCGCTTTAGAGAAATCTTCTCTCATCAACTCGTGATTTTCGATCTTTCATCACTAACCCTCGAGAAAATAATCAAGCGTGACTCGCGAGCAGAGTTTAACGCACTGGTCGGCATACGACTCTTGGTTAACCGCGCTTCCTACACCGATAGCTGCACGCTCTATAGTGCGACCGATGCATATGCGGCGCTCTACGTGCAATCTCATCGATTCCTTTTAACCTACATGCGAAGAGGTTAGTAAACCCGCTAAACCTAGCCAAAGCCGATGGCAATTTTTCCCCTTCTATCATATGGTTTTCACCATATTATAGACAGCGTTGCGTGAATAATCATTGTATCATTTAATACGTGTTTCGTTCCTTATATCGACGTTATAACCGATGGTATAATTAGCAAATGGATTCCACCGTGTGACGATTAGGAAAGAATTTTTTTTTTTTCTATTTTCGTGAAAATGGAATAATTAATGGACAATACCTTTGCCATACCAAATTTTCAAACCTCAACGAAATATCCCCGGGAATATCCTTCGAAATGCTCATCGATGAAAGGCAAATAATGGATCCGGAAGTTGATCGAGTATAATCGCGTTGTCGCGTCGTATAAGTCAACTGTCGGGGTTCGTCTTCGTCGAAAGATCGAGTATTGTTTGATAATCAAGAGGAAACTGTTAATTGGATAGCCGTCGAATCGTCGAGCCGGCAATCAACAGGCCTGCTAATTGATTTATTCCTAATGAGCCTGACTCGCCGGTCGTCTCGCTTTGTACACGTGCAAATTCCTGCCTCGACCGGCCGTGAACGTGTAATTCGTAATGATAACGAGACGTTGATTGGACGTCGATTAACGTCCAATGGATGAAACATTTTCGATCGTTCCTCAGACGTCGTTTGATTTTTGGACAATGATTTTTCCATCGTTCGAGATTCATTCGATCACGATTGGAACGCTAGAACGGAAACTTTAACGTTGAATTGCATAGAATATTGTAATTATATTGTGATTATTTGTATTAAATGGATAAAAGTAATACAATAAAGTTCATTATGGCTTTGTTGAGAGAATTTTAATTTATCTCGAAGCACAAATTCACAAATTTCTGTTCAAAATTGCTGCACGCTTAATTTTTAATTAATCAGCCATTGAAGATACGTACATTGCATAACAACTCGATCGATTCGCGTAATTTTCCACTTTGTTATAAATAAAATCTATCGATTTCGATTATCGATTCGTTTTTTGCTTGGATCGATACTAATAACAAGCAAACAATGATATTAAATAATGCTGAGATTTATTGATTAATAAAATGATTAGCGTCTAAAATATATTTTTGTTTCAAGTGTGTATACTATAACTGCTTGAACACCACACGCACACACAACCAATTAATTGGAGCTAAAGCATGCAGATTTATTCCCTTTATCGAGCATGAAATAATAGGATAAAAGAAAGCAATCGTCGAAATTAAATTAGACGAGATATAATATTTCGATAAAGTTTCGATAAAAAAGAATGAACGAGAATGTTGTATTATAATAGTACAATACTAACTTTAGAATTCATCATACCTTTTAAAAATCTATCTGATCCTTATCCTTATTTTCACGATTCTCCTATTTCCTATCGAACAACGAGGAAAGCCTCGACAAAACATTTGGAAACATTTGTCGAATTTTTATTTTCGAAAATAAACCTGATATGAAACAGCTTGCGCGTGGGTGGAGCAGAAAATCTGACCTGGCAAGTACGAGTACGTTCACCTTGCCCTTAAATAAGACTCTGGATCATCGTGTGCCGGCGGCCCATCGAAACAAACGAGGATGCGAGAAAGGAAGAGAGAGAGAAAGAGAGGAGAGGAGGACAGGTGGGCCAAGAGGAAGGATCACAGGTACATTAAAGAAAGATCAACGGTGGAAAGGAGGTCGAATGCTTTGCGAGAAACCTGCGAAGTGGCTTTTATCGTGGTTCAATGAGGGAAACAAAGGTAAAGAGAGCAAATCAAACGTGAAAAAGCGGGATGAAGAGGCACAGTGACAAGACGAATGAGAATGATTTGGAGAGTTTGATAGAAAAATAGAGTGGATTTCTCACGAAAAATTTAAAATTACATTAAGATTTGTAAAGATTTCGAGATTTAATCGATTATAATCGTGTTAAATATCGTTATTAATTAATTGGTATTGATTGTCAATATGAATACGTATTTTAATAATAATAATAATAATGATAATATCTTGACTTGATGACCACGTTAGTGATTTTTATATTAATATTTAAAGCTACTTATTTTAGAGACTTATAAAATCTATCATCTATTAAATAGAAATCTAAGAATTATTCCTTTTTAAAAAAGTTCTGTAAAATATTATAATAAAAATTATACAATATATCATCATGTTACAATAATAGTAACACAGTAGATGTAGAATATTTGCGTATTTTAAACATAGATAGAGTCACACGTGATTGCCATGAAAGATAAATGAATGCCACACCTGCAGAAAACGAAGAAAACGCAAGTTTATAATTAAATAATTAGACTCAATGTAATTAAAAGGTGTGCACGAAAAACACGAAACTACACAAGTTACAATCGATCAAACCCAGAAACAATTAACGTAAAAATAACTATTGAAATTCCACGCTGAAAAATATTATTACTATTCAAATACTATTTCCTTTAACACACGAAAAACGTAATTTTTGCTCGCTTGAAAAACGCGTTAAAACTTTAATTAAAAATTTGAATTTCTTATCATTATCGGCTCTTCGCTACCGAAAACGAGCGATCGGGAACGAACAAAAGGTTCCAAATTACGATCGAGAGGTTTTCGCAACACGGGTTGCAGAGAAATCGTAAATCAAGAACAAGACAGTGAACACGAATGCTCGTTTCGTCGGATGGTACGGAAAAGGCAAATGGGGAATCGTGGCTTGTTGTCTCGAAAACATCGGTCAACATCACACACACACACACACACATATATATATATGTATACCGGATTGCAAATATCGGGGAATGGAATTGGAGAAACTGGCCGCGCCGCATGAATGACACATGAACGACACTCGAACATCGTTTTGGAAAGGAAAAGGGGCAAAGCCAGCGTGCCTTGATACGCTATACATGGTCATGTGTGTCAGAGCCACGGTACCCTGGCGTCTTCCACGCCTGGTTCAAGTGTGATCCTTTCTGGATCAGAGATCGTTGACACCGATTGGTTTTTCCCCCTCGTACGATTTTTCTGCCTCTTCGTTTGCTTTCGAATTGAATTTGATTCTATTAACATAATTTTCACACGGCAACGGATATCTCTTTCGCGACGGATTGTCGCGAAATACCTCTCTTTTTGAGCGGTGAAATTTTCTTCTCCTCGTATGAAACATAAATAATACCTTCGTGTTCTCGAAGTTTAAATATATAAATTCAAACGCTTTTATAAGGTATCCTGTTGTATGTTTTATCATACAATGTCTTAGGAAAAAAGAAAAAGTATTTCTGAAATATAAATTCTTTTCGAAAAAACGAACTAAATATACATATATAAGAGACAATAAAAATTAATCAAGATTCCATTTTAATTAAATGGAGATTTTTCTTTCTTTTTTAAAAATATTTTTTCATTCCCGATAATTGCAACAAGCAAAATATTCCGTGCTTATTGTAATAAAAAGAAAAATAATATTACGCAATACTTGGAAGAAAGAAACCAATCATCATGTCTATGCACGAGTAAATTTTCCACGCGCTGCATCTATAATTTATCGATTCCGCGTGTATATATTCTTTAAGAATTGTTAATAAAACGTGGTGCAGTTTGTAAAGCAATATTATCAGCAGCAAAATACCATATTATTCAGATTGGAATTGATGGACGTCAATTCTTGTGCCGCCCAGGACGTTTTCATGTCCATGGAAACCCCACGGGCTTTCAGCTGCCTTGATTGGATATTTCTGCCTTGTTCTTTCGTTCCTTCATCCTCCGATTCATCGCCATCCTGCGATTCATCATCCTCTTTCTTGTTTTCAATAACACCCTTGCCGTATACACCCTTCTCTTCCTCACATGATTGTAACCGAAGACACACGACGTTACACTGAACATCCCTCCCATTACTATTTATCACGTTCCATTCGAGGAATCAACGTTCAAATTGCCACTCTTCCACTTTACGATCCATTGTTCTTCACTCTTCCCACGATATACTTAACACCGATTCGAGTTCTGACTCGGTTCTAACGATGGACAAGATATCACATTTCCATCGATTCAAAAAATCGATTTTGGCGTTTTGAAAATTCCAAGAAAAGATTCGTTCAGAACTCGACGAATTATCGATTCAGAATTTTAATAAAATGCAAGTGATTTTAAGAGATCTTGAGATTTATTTCATTTTATTTTATGGATGGTAGTTTCGTGTGATTTTTGATATTAACGAATCGATTTTAAATTTATATTTATTTATATATCTTCTACTCAATTATTCATTGATAAGTTTCATCATTACTGATATCGATTTACATTAATTATTCCTTGATTACGATCATACGTGGAATTTTTTATTATCTATACATCCTCATCTCTTGTAAGTTGAATTAACGATTGGAATAATGATAAATTTACGTCAATGTTCTTATAATGAGCGAAGGATCGCGCGATGCTACGTCGTTGGCTCGAATCGATTTTCTGGATATCAAGTTTAATGTATTTCAAGTTTCGATGAATCAGCTGTGATTTCATAATTTAATGTTTCGTGATCGATGAATTAACGATTAACACATGTAAGTATTGTGTAGTTTCAAGTTCGTGTAGCCCTTCATTTGCTTCAAATATTGGCCGTTTTAAAGAATTCTTGGCTCTTATCCATTTTGAGTCGAGTCAATTTAGAGCAAAAACTTGAAATACTTTATTAATACGCCTTTCTCGTCCTCCTTCTTCTCGAGACAATCTATCGAGACAGCGATGTTAAAAACGTGTTATAATTTTTGACGTAAACCCTTTGCCCATAATAAATATTAAATCCAGAATAAAAGGTTTGTGAAAGAAACTTGGTTAAACTCGATATAGACAGTGAAAACTTTTTAAACTGTATAGACAGTCTTTTCAAGTTTCTTGCCACTTTTCTTCTATATATTTTTAGTGACAGTCTTAACAATCTTAATTACCGAGTTAAAAAGCTGCAAATTGTCTCTTTCAATCTATTTTCAAAATTCTAATTTATTTCGAAATAAACACGTGTCATCTTTCGTTTATTAATATAAAATTGAAAAAAGAAATTATAAATAATTACGCGAACTTCTTCTTCTTCTTGAATTTGATCAAAGAATTCGTTCAACAGTCGAAACTTTCTCACTTGGTCTCCGAAATTGGTCGGCAAACAAAATTTATTGTTCGAACGTTATCGAACGAATTTTTGCAATTCTCTAGCAACGATAAATGTCGAATTTTAATCGAGGATGAATTACAACTTCACGACAGAGCTGAACGACACTACGATAGTACTACACTAACAATTGCGTTGTTACCAAGTCTGGATTCGATTGCGTCCCTATAGGCGCGCATGTGCGGCTTTCCTACCCTTAAGTTGTTGATGACAACGTGGTCAGAACGATCGTGCGATTATTTATTTTATTATCGTTGCGAAGAAACGAAATTGGATAGTTTTTATTCGGCTCGAAAGAAAAGAGATAAGATGGAAGTAATATCATTTGAATAATAATTTGGTCGATAAATCGATTTTAATGTTTATTTTATTCAGTATCTTTGTTACGTGATTTTTAGTAGTAGTAGACAATAAGAAACTTTTTCGTAGCCCAATTTATTTATGTGAAGCTTGTATTGGTTTGATAAACGCGCAATTTTTTGTACTTTGACGAAAATTATTTTTTTATTACTGTTTAATATACATTTGATCGAACATAAATCATTTTATTCGTTCGAATAAAAATTTATTTTGAAAAGGTAATCTCCAGTCCAGTTTCAATTCTTCCAATTTTTTTATCGGAAGCGACTCTTTCACCTTCGATTTTCCACGTTTCAAATTCCCGATTATCCGTAAACAGGGTTAATACAGTGAACGAAGTATAAATTTTTTAAAAGCCGATAATCAATTGTGACGTCATTTGAATTCGTTATTCGTTCGTTTTTCGATCACCGTTTCGAAAAAAACGGTCTTACCGAATTTTCAAGCCTCGATTTAAATTTAGATCATTCTATTATTGATTACGAACTAATCGATTCATTGTCGATTAAAATTTAATCAAAATTTATTCATTAACACAAATATATCATTTTTTATAGAATATTTTTATCTATTTTAAAATGATTAATTTGATTAAAAAAAAAAAGAAAAAAATAGTGTAGTTATCCAAGGGAAAATCGAAGGGCACGATAAAAAGTAGGTCATCATTTAATACAACTTTCACGTGCCATTTGTAATTACAAGTCTTATTACTGTATTGTAAATTATTTATAAACAAATTATTGATGGAACAATTTTACTTGCTCGTAACTTCATTGTTAACTACGGTTAACAAGAACAACTTTCTCAGAAATATTTCAAACAGGCGAAAAAGTTCAAGGTTATTTGATCACGAAAGGACATTTGATCGAATCGTTAAACGATACGAAAAGAATCAAAAACATTTATTCTTTTATTTAAATTTAATTTTTCTTTATTACAATGTTATTATTAATTATTATAAATTTTTATTATTTTTAGATTCTCATTTCGAATCACATCGATATTTTTCAAATATTTAAAAATTTTGCAATTTATCATAATGTTCCTTTTATATTCGTGACATTGATGCACAGAGTTAGTAATAGGTTCAACGAATAATAATTTGCATTTTCAGCTAAAATTTTTCGAGGAGAAACATGCTTGAAAATGCGTAAAAAACTCAAAGAAGCCGCGTGTTTTGTCGCAACTTGTTAACCAGATTGAAATTCCTAGGTTCAGCAAGGTTTCCAGCAAGCAAGGATTTGAAAAGATGATCCTGCGCACAGACACCTCGTGGAAAGCCTTCGAATATCATTTTTAAATTTCAAACGGCGGGGGATGAATTTTTATTCGTATAAAACTTTTCGCTAATTTCATTTAGCTCGTAGGGGAAATTTTGCACGTGAACAAGAGATTTTTCCGAAATTAAAATTACCGAAGGCGTTGCATAGCATGATGTAATATAAAATGTTTTTCCCTTATATATTTTTAATACAAGCGAAAGATTAAAAAACAAGGGGAATATTTCATGTTTTTACAGAGATTTTTCGTTGCTTTTCTTTCCTAAAATCCTAAAAATATATGCATCCTTTTTGTATTAATTACTGTAATTACGAAAATCCAAAGTTTATACAAACATCTTTACAAACAAAAAGTATAATTCATGTATATTGGAAAAATGTTATTGGGATAATAGTTTTGACAAAAAAAAAAAAAAAAAAGAATGAATTTTTCCATGCTATTCCACCCTATTCTCAACTGTAATGGATAATATTTTCTAGAATGAAATATTTCCCGTATTATCGTCATTTCTCTTATAAATTCATACAGGCAAACTTCGTCAGAATCGCCAGTACATTACGGGATCTTATGAGTTCCAAGATATATCGTGCCATTACGTTAAAAGTAATGAGTGTTTCCGAGCAGAAAGTGTCTGATCTCCACCTATTTGTTGTCGAAATTTCAGATATTTTTCATAAAAAAGAATAGAAGAGTTATGTTGACGTATATATCTAACTTTACGTGTAAAATCGTGTTTTAAGCGAGGAAATAATCGAACGCTTCCACTGGAAAAAGTTTTTTTTACGTCGAATGTAATTTTTTGTTATTAAAGATTAATTGCATTAAACATATGTATTATTATAAAAAATTGGATAATGGATTATACCATTTTTATTTTATCTATAATACTTATTTAGTTGTTCTTCGTGATTTAACTATTCCAATTTTATTAAAAAAAATATGACGTTCCCAAAGAAATTTCAAATCCTACATGAATTTAAGCTAGGCTACGATGCAGTTGCAGCAGATCGAACAATAAATTAACAAAATACTTTGACATTTTAAAATCAGAATTCAATCAATTTTTCAAAATTAACAAAAATTTTTATTGCAAAACTGCGAACCTATTATTATCGCGAATTATTCCGACTATATATAAACCAGAAGAAAAATACGCTTCCTAAATCAGAATTCTATCAATTTTTTTCGAAAGCCACTTACACGTTTCATTCATTCGGTTGTATCTTGTTCATTAATGCTTTCGATTGCCGAGCGCTCGAATACTTCCGTGACCCAGTCTCGGTCAATTCCGATGGAGCACGCTTTTATTCCCTGCGTTATGCAGTTCGCGAATGAACAGGGGATCCATGTCATCCCCCTCGATTCGCGATGCAGTGTAGAAATTCCAACTTGGTCGAGTGCAGAGTTCAAGGTTCCTCGAGAGCATCGTCGCTCGTGCGAGATGATTGGTTTTCGCTCTGTCGACCATCCTAACGACTCCGTCGAGCCTTGCTTTCTCCCGTTGCCCCGTGTGCGTTTCTGCACACATGGATTTCTGCGTTCCCGACAGACAATGCGATCTAACCGATCGAATTTACGTGAAACTTATTTCTCTAATTTTTCCTCCCTTTTTTCCTCGAATTGAAAACGAGCGATGGGTTCGAACCGAACTCGATACAAGCAACTTTTAATTCGTAAATTGATTTTCCGTATAAATTATTCGATAATCGTTTAAAGAGGGTAAAAAGTGTATAACATATGATTTTATTAACATTCGAGAAAGTCAATTTTCAAGACGAGTTAAAGTTCCATAGGAGTTAATTTTGTTCGCGAAATCGTTTTGTTAAAATATTAAATTAAGAAACATTTTTCAGAAAATTCCATAAAAATTCCTTTCGATTCTACTTTATGCGCGCATAACTAATTCAAGGGATGCGTTTCAATCTGATCAATCGAGCACTTCCAAATCAAAGCTAATTAATTCGCTCGTTAACATCGAGTACGATTGCACGCGTAGATTTGCGATTCTGGTGCTTTCAATTGATGGCCCTCTCTTCAAAGCGCGACACATAGAAAGTTGAACGAACATTTCATCCGGTTATATGGGTTTCGATTAAAAAGTACCCTGAATCGTTGCTATAACTCATCGAGAGGACATCTGTATGTACAAGGTGTCATTATAATTTCTAGTAGAGAATGTTTCATTGCTTCGACGCATCTTGTATTTAAATTTAACGATATGCATTCTATGTAAAAATAAGATGAAAGTGTCATCGGATAATTATATTGTGATTAACAATTATTATTAATAAATTTTTTATAATGTGAATAAGAAAGAAAGAAATACATACACGTATCAAAATTGTTAATATCTTGAATATTAAACGAAGTATTTTCTATTTTACTTGAAAAATAAATTGCAATTTTATATATTTCGATATTTATAATATAAATGCTTTAAACATATTCTGTATATATTTGGAAAAATTGGAAACATTAGCTAACCATCGCACAAATATTAATATTGAATTTAAACTACATAGTATAAAAGATATATTATAGATTTTAATAAAAGACAATATGCAATTAATGATCAAGATAAAGCATTAAAAATAAACTTTGAGATTTTTGAATGGGGGTGTAGATACGTATATAAAATTAAGTTTCTTCACGTTCCATATTTTTATACACGTATCGTATCAAGTTTTCTCACGTCCCATATTTTCGTTATAATTGCTTAATAAATCATTTAAGAGATTTTTATCTGTGCAATCATTTTTTATTATTTCGAACAAGGTAGAAGAATTTGTACGAAAATTATGGGGACACCCTGTATGCACGTATCGTGTGCATACACGATAATGAATCCACGCGTGGGTCGATTAAGATGAAAGATAGATACAATTTAGCGTGCAACTTGTTGGAGGATAAATAGACCACGACTAATATCGTTTTTAGTTATAAACAGCTCCTCACTCTCTTCATTTCCCCCCTCCCCCCAATTCTTTCGATAATCTTGATAATCAAACATCTAGCGTACGAATTGGATTTTGGAAATTGAGTAGTTATAGTTACCTGATTTTTCAAATGATTATAGACTGATTAAAAATAGAACTTTTTGTTATAATTTATTTAAATATACTATACTATTATTGATTATAAATTAATAATAAACTAATTTAAAATTTCATTGTACCACTTGATATTATTAATTAGTCAGATTTTTAAATGATCTCTTATCATGAACGAGAACACTTGTTGGTTTTCACAGGAAATGTGACGATCGACCCGGAATTATGAGAATAATTTTTCATTCGTATACAGATAACGATCTGTAATATACGATGAAAATTATAAATTAGAAAATTTCTCGTAATCTAATAATATTAATGCTAATTTGTCAATAACAATTTAATTTAATACCGATCATGTTCGATAAAAAAATTAAGGAACGTTCAACGATATATGGAATTAATCAATTTGGCATCCAAATGATTCGTTCATTTAATATTGCAATCAGGAAAATAAAATACTCGATATAAAATACTTACTGGTTCAATTACCAAAAAATTTCTAGTGTTATC